CCTCCGCCCGCGAAAGCCCTTCCGCAAACAGAAAGCAGCATTCTGGGAGATTCCATTTTCCCTGGAAGTGGGAGGGAAGGACCGGAGGCAGCCGGAGAGGGAGGGAGAGCGGAAAGGCCGCGGCTTTGCCTGCGCGAGGAAACCGAAGCGAGCAAGGTAAAAACAACCACGCAGGGCTAATATAGGGGGATGACACTCCGGAGCGGCGATCCGATCCCGGATACATCCTTCTTCGCCTCTCCCTCAGCTTCCATGTAGGCTGTTCCGCCGGTTGCGCGCGGGGTGGGGGGGAGTAGGAGAGAGACGAGTGATACTTTACCCCGGAACGAGTCCCGAACCCGAAGCGCCCGGAGCTCATGAATGGAGCGTGTAAAGCCCAGACGCGGATCTGACTGCGAGTCGGGTTTGCTCTTGGGAGGCGCCGTTGATCCCTACCGCGTATGTTGGCGAATCTGGGGCTGACGGCGCCCCGAAAACATCTGCGCTCCTTTCTCACATTTTCTCAAAACCCGTCTTTCCTGCAGCCAGTCGTTTTCTGTTTATGGGGCACCATCCTCTCTTTTTTTTTTTATGAAAAAAAAGAGAGTTTTTAGTTATTTCTAAGCACTTTTCTGATGTGGGTTAGTTTGAGGACTTCCAAGCGCTGCAGAGGGCAACAGGGACAGAAACTGAGGTTAGCAGACGAGGTAAGTGATGCAGGCTTCTCAGCCGATTGTCTGAACTGCTGTTATCTTGAACGGGTGAAAGGCTTCCTCGCCCCCGAATGTGCCCGGGAACCTAGGTCGACGTGACTCTCTTGAGCGGTGGGCCGCTTTTCCCTGCGGCTTAAATTGGGATAAACGTGGTACTAATTTTCGGTAACGCTAGATTGGGTTAATGGCACGCGTGATTAGCAGGAATAGTTTTGTGAATAGGCAGTCTTGATAGTGTAACTGTTACTGCCTCGGTTTTCTGCCTTTCCGTTGTCTCAGAATCCATTGATCTCGCTCATTAATTCCACACACGGAAGCACCTAACCATATAGATTTATATATAATAGTATTTATATATTTATAATTACGCTTTATATATACAATTGTTTGTATGTGTGCGTGTGTAGAGAAAGTTATGTACTTATATATCTAGATAGATATATGTGTAAATATACAGATATAAATGGTAATTTAGGATAAATGCATGCATATGATGATCTTGTTGTTACGTATCATCAAGTTCTTTCCAAATTATGGTGACACTGTGGATTACTGAGCTGGCTGGAGAGCTCAATGAGGTGTCTGGCTATATGGTGCCAGAGGTTGGCAATTCTCTTCTGCGCTGTGCATCCAAGAAGAGCTAGCCTGTGTGGCCTTGGGCAAACTGCATGGTCCTAGGATCCCCCTGTGACGACGGGAATAGTAAACCACTTGGGCACTCTCTACCTGGAAATAGCTGAAAAGGGTTGATGAACCTGAACTGTTTTTGTTGAATATAATACCAGATTTGATAGAAAAAGAAAAAAGATATTTGATCATACATGTAACTACAGCAACAAGAATTTTATATGCAATATACTGGGGAAAAGAGGAGACTCCAACAATCCAGGAGGTAATAGAATTATTTTTGAAGCAGCAGAGGTGGATATTTTAATTGAAGTATTAAAAGATAAAGAAATTGTTGAGGCTAGAAAAAAATGGGAACATTTGTATAATTGGACGAAAAGATATTTGATCATACATGTAACTACAGCAACAAGAATTTTATATGCAATATACTGGGGAAAAGAGGAGACTCCAACAATCCAGGAGGTAATAGAATTATTTTTGAAGCAGCAGAGGTGGATATTTTAATTGAAGTATTAAAAGATAAAGAAATTGTTGAGGCTAGAAAAAAATGGGAACATTTGTATAATTGGACGAAAGATGAGAACATGAATGGGTTAAAATTATAAGAAAGAAGATATATAATTGTAGAGTTTAAAGGGTTAGAAAAAAATGGCAAGATAAGTGTGAAGTAAGCTTAGTAAGAAAACATATTGACAAAAGTAATAATGATATACAGTGGTGCCTCGCATAGCGAGGTTAATCCGTTCCGGATTAACCTTCGCTATAGCGAAACATC